AAGCTGTTAAGGGTGTAGGGCTCAGGGAGGGGGGTGGGAGGGCATGAGATGAAGGCACAGCAGTGCTGGGAGTGGGGGCCCTGCCTTGATGCTACTAGCCCAGCCGGGGAAGGTGGGGGTAGGATGTGGGTGCGGCTCACTCCAGGCGGAAGGGTGCAAGTGGCAGCAGGACATAGCCCTCGCTCCCACCAATGCTGCACCAGCATCCTGCATTGTCCTTCACCAGTTGGCAAGTGGTGGCAGCACCTGTCCCCTACACTGGTTAGCAAGGGGTGGCAGTGCCTACCCCCACCCCTCACCAGCTGGCAAGTGGTGGCAGGGCAGAGTCCCTGTTCCCAATGCTGATGTAGGTATGGCAGTGTTGGGATCAGGGGCTATGACCTGCTGCTGGTTGCCTCCTTTTGCCGAGAGTGAGCTGTGCCTGCATCCTGCCCCCCACAGCCTGCCATCCTGGCTGGGTAAGTGGCAGCAGGATACAGCTCCCGCTCTGAGTGCTACCACACACATTATCCTGCACCCCCTTCCCAATTTAATGCACCCCCAGCTGTGCAGTTTGTCCCAGCTCCAATGCCTCCCTCCCCCATGCCCCTTTCATCCTCCTTACCTGAACCCCAACAGACTTACCAACAGGTGCGTCAGGTGCCTATGGCCAAATCTCCAAAGTGGTGCCAAATCTTTTGGATCTGATTCAGCTGAACAGAATCAGGACAGTGATTCAAATCTCTGAATCGAATCACTGTCCTCTGAATTGGCCAAATCCAAAGCAAATACTTGCCACTTTGCACAGGCCTAGTAAGTACCTAAAAATATGAAAATAAATAAATAAATAAAAACCCTCTTCCAAATAGACAACAAGGTGCTACTTCTGAGCACCAGAAAAAAGAAGTTCTGGAGGTTTCTGGGCTAGTTTGAATTGTTGTTCTTAATCACTACTTGAAAGATTGATTTACAACACAGAATATCAAAAGAAGTAATTAAACAAACATAAAGAAGCTGAACTAAGAATAGACAAAAACAGTGGCCCCTTTAGGGCAACAATATGATGAACAGCAAAATATGTTAAGGGAGTACAATCAGAACATGTATCAACTACAATACTCATCAAATAAATGTTTGATCCATTTTAAGATCAAAGACTATCTAAGGTCCCCAGTAAAACTAGAGGAGGTTAAAAATAACAAAAGACTTTGACCCATTTCAATTGATATCCATTGCAGGGAAGAGCATTAAAAGAATCATGTTATATAAAGACATTTGCTAAATTAAATTTTATTTTGATTTCTTGCAATATGTCTTTCAGTAAATAAATGTTCATTTCTAATTATGTGTGTCACAAAGGGAGAAGTTATGTTACAGGGGACTGGGTCAAACGACTTATATATTCAATGAAAATACAGTATGCACTTCAGCCTGTAAGCTTCAGTTTAAATTTATTTTAGAAATCATACAAGGGAACAAAACCACTGTTTAATGTATTATCAGTTTTTGTAAGTAATCCATAATATTGACAAGCAGAAAAAAATATTAA